AGAATTTCATTTCTAGTTTTTTAGTACCCACTTCTTCTTCTCTTAGATATTACTAACAAGTTAGAAAATGTCAAAGGTTTACCAGAAGTTATCAATTAAAGGTGTACAGATAGATAACAGGTATGAAAAATTCACAAACCAGAAAATCACAAATGGATAATTAATCTCCTATAAAGAGGAGCTGTGCAAAATAGATACTAAATAATGTTCTTCAATGAGCATCCAAAATCAGCTTAGGAAGGAAAGCAGGCCAGTATCTTAACCAGGAAGGATGAATCACGGAAGAGTGGTTTTCATTTCTGCTTTTCTTTCTCCACATTAAAACAGAACAGACCCCCTATTAAAATTTTTTGTATTCAAGAAGACTGTAATATTGGGAATGGAAGAATTACTTGCTACAAAGTAAAATTAATTTCAATATTTTATCATGTTAATGTACTTAACAAATGTCATATAAGCATGGGACTTTTAAAAATTATGTTGTGTTTCAAAATTGTAAACAGATTTAGCAAGAGGTGGTTAGAAATAAGGACAAATGAACCTCCAGTGAATACCAAGTAGATAGTTCAGAATGAGATCAGCTGTCGGCACAGATGTGAGTAGACATAACTTTGGGTCTTTAGGGCTTCTATCAGCAGGTGTATTTGCTTGGTTTCATACAGTAATGAATTTAGAAATCTAGAAATCAACTTGTTAGTCTATCATGGCATTCCTCTAAATTTCATATAAATTTATTCATAAAACTTACAAAAAAAGTTTTTTGGTAGAAATCAAAGTGTCATTTATCCTCACAATAACTCAAATTTAGAGTATTTAAAATATATGTAATACTTCTTGCCTAGTTACAATCACACTTCCCTCTTTCATACATTGAAACATTCATTACTTCAACACAGATATTTGTTAAAGCAATTCTCAAATTAATTATAAGCATGTGTCACAGTTTTATTCCAGACTTGCCTCAAAAGAAGGAGCTTTCTCATGTTCTCACTTATGGGGGCAGGGTAAGGGGGGAGACACCTAAACAATTCCTTGAACTTTTAGAATACTAGACAGAGATGGGGGGGATGAGGCTGGGCGAGGGTTTGGGTAGGGATAGGTTGGGTAAAGGGCACAAAGAAAAATCACAATTTATAATAATAATATGCTTATGATAAGTAATATTTTTAAATATAAATAAATGAATGAATGAATCCTGAAAAGGAAAAAAAAAAAAAAAAGAAGGGGCTTTCTCAAAAGTCTAATTCAAAGAATTCACCTTAGCAGAGTTATTTTATCAGGAAAAAATGATTAGATAATTATTGTCAGACTGTATTTTAAAAAAGAATATCTAATTAAAGATGATAGCCTCTTTGCATTATTGGTTAAAGGTCTTGGACTAGTTCCAAAACTAATAGTCAGTTAAGTGGGTTTCCAGGAGGGGTTCTTAAGTTTATTAATCTATCAGAAAATTGCTCAAGTATTTTATCAGCAATGCTCATTCTTACCCCAGGAAAAGCAGCTAGTCCCATCAGACCACAAAATTCTGCCACAGCTCCGGTTTGGGACCACTTTCTTTTCACATTTATTGGGGGCCACTGATGCCATGCTAAGGAATTTGGGCTATACCTGCTGGACAATGGGGAATTATTGAGAGATTTTAAGCAGTGATATGTCATGATCAATTTTTTTAAGACCATTCTCTCCAGTGTTTCATACTGATTAATATGGTTGAGATTGGAGTTAGGAAGATCAGTTGGAGAACTATAATAGTGGCTCAGTTTAATTCAGTAAACATCCACTCTATACCAGACCTTGTGCTCAGAGCTGCAGACACAGTTTCTGCCCCAGTTCTTAGCTAAGTGGAGGAGATGGAGACACAAACCTGGCTCCACCACATACTAACTGTATGGCTCCGGGCAAGTTAGTTATCATCTCTGTTACCTCATCTGTTGAATGAAGATAATAATAGGACCCACTTCATAGGAAGGTTGTGATGATTAAGTGAGTTAATAAATAGAAAAGGCTTAGAATAACACCCTGCACATAAGAATCAATCAATAAATGTTAAATATTGTTATTATTATTAGAGATTATCTCACAGCAATATAATAAGTGCTGTGAATAAAAGTATAGTCATGCATCCTTTAATGATGGGGATATGTTCTGAGAAATGCATTGTTAGGCGATTTCATCATTGTATGAGTATCATAGAGTGTACTTACACAAACCTAGATGGTATAGCCTGCTATACACCTAGGCTATATGGTATTGCTCCAGCCACCGTTGTATGTGCGGTCTGTCATTGAAACTTCCTTATGCTGCAGGTGACAGTATATGTAGGGTGCTTTAAAAGCACAGAGGTCACACTTGGCTGAACTAATAGATGGTAACAGTCTGAGTTAAGGGAGGAACTGGGGAAGTGGAGAGGAAGTGGAAGCAAGAAATGACATAGAGGTAGGATCCAAAGGGCATAGTGACCCATGGGATGCTGGGGATGAAGAAACAGAAGTCCAGTATGACTCTCAGGTTTCTGGCATGGGCAACTGAGTGAAAAGTGGTGCCAACAGCCAGAAGGAAAAACAGGTTGAGGTTCACACTTTGAAAAAACAATTATGCACCAGGCATTAGAATTGGTGAAATTACCCCATTAATACTCCAAATACAATTCCCAATAATTAGTGGCAAGAATATTATATAAATCTAATCAGAGTTGCTACTTAACATCCTGAATTAGAAACAGACACTACTATGGTGGGTACATTAAAAGCTTAAATTCATCAGAGTTGCTACTTAACATCCTGAATTAGAAACAGACACTACTATGGTGGGTACATTAAAAGCTTAATTTAAAAGCTATTGTATAAGTCTAATTACTAAAGTATAAGTTTTTCCAGTGTTCCATATTTTTGGCCTAATAGTCATGACATTAAGTCAGATGAATACAATGGAGGTTAACTGAGGACAAAAGCAGGAGTTAGTTCAGTGGTTCTCAACCCTGGATACACATTAGGATCATCTGGGGAGTTTAAACAAAAAATACTGATATATAGACCCCACCCCCAGATATGATGATTTAATTGGTTTGAGGTAGGATCTAGGGTGGGTATTTTTTTAAAAAGCTCCCTAGGCAATATTAATATACAGGTAGGGCTGAGAAACAGTGGATTAGAGTCATGAGGAACTGCAGAAATACTTTAGTCCAGTGGGAGTGGGGTGGGGAAGCAAAAAACTAAATCAAAAACAAAAACGAAAAAAGAAATACTCTAGCCCAGTGTTTTGAAACATTCTTTTTAACCCACGGAAACCTTTAGTCAAACAACGTCTTGTAATAATGTATAAACAAATAAGACAGAGAGAAGAGAGTTTTTGTAATTAGGGAGTGGTAGTAGGGAGTGAAGCTTTGCTTATTAGGTCTTTCTCTATCCCCTCTTCCATCTGCTGTTCTTTATATCCCACTTATGTCCCCTCCCTGCCAGCCTACAAGTTTTTTCTATATAACACAGTTTTAAAACAATGCTTAGGACTAAAAATATGTCATTCATTCATTCATTCATGAAATATGTTTTGAACTCTAACAACATGATTGGTGCTAATATATAGAAATAATTCATATTTTGAAGGAAAAAGACAAGATTACAAGTGTATTTAGAAGAAAACATGAGGAAATTCATCTATATCTCAGAAGTAGGGAAAACTTTCCTATTGATAGCTCAAAATCTAGAAACTACAAGGAAAATATTGATAAAATTGGTTGTTAAGAAAAACTTTTTCATGGCAATAAAATACTATAATGAAAGTAAGAAGTCAAATGACAAACTGAGACAATATTTGCAACACATATCATAGACAAAGAGTTAAATCCCAAATATTTCAAAAGTGTTTAAAAATAGGCAAGAAAACAAACAACAACTTAGATAAATGGGTAGAAGATATAAACCGTCAAACTCATGCATAAGAAAAACAAAAATTAAAGCTATAATCATACACACAACAACATAAATAACATAGATAACTCTCACAAAAGACTGAAAGAAGCTGGATACCAAAGAGTACATGTTGTAAGATTCCATTCATATAAACAATCTAGAGCAGACAAAACTAGTCTATGATGGAAACAAAACAAGAAAAGTTACTACCTTCCTTTGTGCAGGGGGCAGGGGGTGGTTGTTGAGAAGACAGAGTGAGAATGAGCAGGACGGAGCTTTTTGGGGAGGTGTATCTTGATAGGGGTGTAGGTAACACAGGTGTATCCATTTGTCAAAACTCACCAAATTCAACACTTAGGAATTTGCATTTTACTCCATGTAACTATTTCCTTAAAAAACAAATATTGAATTCTAGCTAGAAGATTAACTTTTTGCAATAGTATGGGTTAGCAATTCTGAAAATACTTTCTATGCATTCTAGGCTCATGCAAATGAATAAATAACATGAGTAAAATGCCAGGCATCTCACTGCTAGAAAAGGGAATTAGAAATATAAACAGTGGGAAGAAGACTAGAAGGTGCCTTGTGGTGTTTAAATTGGAAATGGATATATCAGTATAAACTTATGGTTTTTAATATAGATAAACAGATATAGCAACATAGATACTCATGTGAGCTGGCCGGTTAGCTCAGCTGATTAGAGCACAGCCTTGTAACACCCAAGATCAACGGTTCGGTTCGCCATACCAACCAGCCACCAAAACCAAAAAAACAAACAAAAAAAGAAGTATACTCACATATGAGGGTACTTCAAAAAGTTCACAGGAAAATGAAATTAAAAGATAATATGAAATCTCTGATGAACTTTTTGAAGTACCCCCATATGTGTCTGTATATACATATATTTCCACATTGGTAGCAATTACCGTATCTAGTACCCAGATCTTAGTTTCTAGATATCATTTTTTCCACTTCAAGGAAGCTGGGCTGCTTGGAGAAAAGGTTGATTTCCAGGACAGAGAATGAACATAACATTGAATAAATATTTAAATGATGACTTCAATTTTACATAACATGTTGAGTTTTAATTACCTGTGAGGGAGCCAAGTGGAGATGTCCAGCAGGCATCCACATGCCCAGCGCTTGAGGCTTAGGAAATAGAGTGATGATCAAAGAGAAGAGCGACACTCAAGCTAAGAAATAAGAGTAGTTAACACTTGCAATTTCCATTTTTCACCACCCATCCACTTTTTCATTCAAGCATCTAATTTTCTCCCTACCACTCCACTGAAAGCTGCCAAATCCAATAGACACTGGTCAGTTTTCTCATCCTCTTTTGAACTATTACTTATTAAACACTTTTTCCTTCAAATATCTTTCATTACATTTTTTTCTAACACCACCTTTTTTGGTTCTCCTTACACCTCACTGGCTCTCTCTGCCTCTTTTGTAGGCATCCTCCCTCTGTCCTCCATTTCTGCAACCAGTCCACCACTCGTGATGAGATCCCTATGACTCTATCCTTGACCCTCATCAGAAAACATGGAGGTCAAAGGCAGTGGAAGACATATTTAAAGTACTAAAAGAAAAATCATTGTTAACTAAAAACTCTATATCAAATAAAACTATCCTACAAGAATAAGGGAAAAATAAATACATTCCCATATAAAACAGAAACTGACATACAAGAAATGCTAAAGGGAGTTCTTCGGGCATAAATATGAGGACACTAGAAAGAGAAGAAATCACAAAAGAAATTAGAAAATATTTGACATGAATACAAGTACAAAAGCACAACATTCCAAAACTTATGGGATGTAGCTAAAGCAATACATAATGGAAATTTTTTGGCTGTAAAATGCACATTTTAAAAAAGAAGAGAGATCTCAAATCAGTAGCCTAGCCTTCCACCTTAAGAAAAACAGAGCAAACTAAATTCAAGGCAAGAAGGAAAAAATAAATATTAGAGTAGATTTTTTTAAAAAAAATAGATTACACAAAACCAATAAAGTCAACAAAACTTGGTTCTTTGAAAATCAACAAAACTGGCAAAACTTTAGCTAGAATGACCTACAAAAAATAAAAGAGGGGCCGGCCCGGTGGCGCATTGGATAGTGCGCCGCTTGGGAAGCACAGCGGCGCTCCCGCCCGAGGGTTCGGATCCCACATACAGACCGGTTCCCGCTCACTGGCTGAGCGAGGCGTGGGAGCAACGCCGAGGGTTGCAATCCCGTTGCCGGTCCCCGGTCCGGTACGGGGGCAACACTGAGGGTTGCGATCCATTGCCGGACACGGAAAAAGACAAAAGACAAAAATAAAAAAATAAAAAATAAAAAATAAAAAAAATAAAAAAATAAAAAATAAAAGAGAAAATTCAAATTACTCGAATCAGACATAAAATAGGAGGGCATTACTACAGACCTTACAGAAATAAAAAGAACTGTAAGGAAAAACTATGAGTAAGTATATGTCAGTAAATTAGATAACCTAGGTGAAATGAAAAAATTCCTGGAAAGACCTGAAACTGACTCAAGAAGAAACAGAAAATCTGAATAGATCTATAATAAGTAAGGAGATTGGATTAGTAATTTTTAAACATCCCACAAAGAAAAGCCAAGGACCAGATGGCTTCCGTGGTGAACTCTATCAAATATTTTTAAAAGGATTAAAACCAGTCCTTCACAAACTTCAAAAAATGCGCGGAAGGGAGCACTTTCCAGCTCATTCTATGAGGCCAGCATTACCCTGATACCAAAACAAAAGAAATCACAACAAACAAAACTACAGCCCAATATCAGTTATGAATATAAACACAAATTTCTTCAACAATATCTATTAAACTGAACCCACCAATATATAAAAAGAATAATTGGTATTTGTCCCAGGATTGCAAGCGATACTTGCAACATACTAAAATCAATTTCAACATACTAAAATCAATCACTATAATATACCATATTAACAGAATAAAGAACTAAAACTACAGGATCATCTTAATAGATGCATAAAACACACAAGATCCAATAGCCTTTCATGACAAAAAACACTCAACAAGTAGTAGAACAAAACCTTCTCAATCTGATAAAGAGCATCTACGAAAAACCCACAACTAATATCATATTTAATGGTGAAAGCCTTTCAGTCTTTCACCTTACATGAAGGCTGGAGAAGCCACAGTGAGAGAAAGAAAAAAACTGCTCAGATTGTTTCGAGCTCCTACTGCTTCCAGGCTGGAGCTGCTGAGTACACGGAGCAGGAGCTGTCAAAAGCCGCAGCTGCACCCTTTGGATGGAGTTGCTTGGAGGCAGCAGGGGAGAAGAGGGCATTGGTGGCCCCCAGGCCAGCAAGACCACTAATAGGGTTCCCGTGGACCCACATAGGAGCAAGGAGCCACAACTGAAAAAAAGGAGCCACTCAGAGGCCAGTGAGTCATTGCAAGGGACCGACACACGACCAGTCCCATGGGAAGTGTCTGGAGCACAGGTGGTTGGTGAGACGGGCCCACCGGGAGAACACTGGAGCACAGCAAGGACAGCTGATCTGCCCCGCAATCAGCATAGGACCACTCAGAGGGGAGTGGACAAGAATATAGGACTGCAGGGGGTGCAGTTTGATGAAAAGACTCAGGCCTGTACCAGAGTTTCTGCACAAACCAGGTATAACAGATCCCTCAAGAGCTGGAAGTACCTATAAAGTCAACCATTAAAACCTGAGCTACACAAAAAGCCTGCCCTAGAGAATCAGCAGCAAAGCAGCATTTGAGCTCAATCACACAGCTCAAGTGCTGTTCCCCACAGGAAGTTCCCCCATTTTAGAAGTAAGCAAAGGACAACAAATTAGTTCCAGCTAGGAGTTTAAGCGGTGGGGACAGCAAATAATTCAACACAGAACTGAAAGAAAAAAACAAAGTACCCGCAACCAGAGACAAGGTTTCATATTAACTAGTAAAGGTCTCATTTCACTAAAGAACATCTATAATACCTAGAAGGACCGGAAGTCCCCTGGGATACCAAGTCAGAAAGCAGGGAGGGCTGGGGGCCTCAGCAATGCCCCTGACACCCACAACAAATCCTGAGGGTGGGAAACAAGGGCCTCAGCCATGCCCCCCACCCCGACACACAGCCAGCTGATTGGCAACCACCAAGCTGCCGTAGGAAGTGCCCCAGACTCACCTAAACTAGGGCGGTGGGTGGCCTCAGGCCTTGGCCACACCCCCCAACACAGCAACCACTGAGCCTCTGCAGGAAGCACCCTGGGCTCACCTGAGCCAGGGCAGTGGGGGGGGGGCTCTGGCCTCAGCCATGCCCTCCGAAGACCCATAGCCAGCCCAGTGGTGATCACTGAGCCATCACAGGAAGTTCCCCAGGCTCTCCCAACCCGGGGCAGTGGGGGGCCACGGCCATGCCCCCCGACACTGGCAGCTAGCCAAGCAGTAACCACTGAGCTGCCGCAGGAAGCACACCAGGCTCTTTCGAGCTGGGGTGGGTGAGGGCTACAGGCCTCAGCCAAGGCCCACCAACACCCACAGCCAGCCCAGCAGCGACTACCAAGCCATTGCAGGAAGTACTCATGGCTCTTCCAACCCGGAGAGGTGGGGGGCCTCGGGCCTTGACCACACCCACCAGGCATGCACAACCAGCCCAGTGATGACTACTGAGCCACCACAGGGAGCACCCCAGGCTCTACCAACTTGAGGCAGTGGGGGGCAGAGGGCCTGGGCCACACCTCCCAACAGGTGCAACCAGCACAGCAATGACCACCAAGCCTAGCAAGAAGGGCCATGGGTTCCCAAGATGGGATGATAGGGGGGTGAGGGCTTTTACCACATCCTCCTGACATCAGCACCCAGCCCAGAAATGACCAAGCCACCGCTGGAAGCCCCCCAGTCTCTCCTGTGGGAATAAGGGGGGTGCCACAAGCCTCAATCCCACTCCTCCTCCTTCCTCCTTCTTCTATCCCATTTGCTTCCCCTTTCCCTTCTCCCCCTCCCTCCCAACTGTGCTGCAACAACATACTAGAATGTAAAAATTACTATTAATAAAATCACATTTTCTTAAAAAAAAAAAATTCCAGGTTCCTTTTTTCCATTTTGCAGAAATTGACAAACTGATCCTGAAATTCATATGGAAATGCAAGTGACCTAGAATAACCAAAACAATCCTGAAACAAAAGAACAGGGGAAACAAAAGAAACGTTCAAGGACTCACGTTCCCAATTTCAAAACTTTCTATACAGCTACCATAATCAAGACTATATGGTACTGGCCTAAGGACAGATATAAAGATCAATTGATTTTCAAGGGTGCCAATACAATTCAATAAAGAAAGAATAGTTTTTTCATTATATGTAGTGAGACAACTAGATACCTACATGCAAAAAATAATAATTGGGCCTCTTCTTTACACCATACACAAAAATGAACTCAAAATTGATCAAAGACTTAAACTAAAAAGCTAAAACCACAAAACTCTTAGAAGAAAACATAGGTGTAAGTCTTTGTGACCTTGAATTAGGCAATGGTTTCTTTGATATGACACCAAAATCACGAGCATCCAAAAAAAAAGTAGATAAAGTAGTCTTCGTCAAAATTAAAAGCTTTTGTGCTTTGAAAGATAATAACAAAAAAGTGAAAAAGACAACCCACAGAATGGAGAAAATATTTGCAAATCATATATCTAATAAGGCTGTACTATACAGAATATATAAAGATCTCTTATGACTCAACAATACAAAGATAACAAAATGGGCATGAATAGACACAAAGGATCATAATAGACACTTCCCTAAAGAAGACATAAAACTGGCCAATAAACACATGAAAAAATGTTGAACATAGTTAATCATTAGAGAAATACAAATCAAAACCACAGGAGATACTACTTCATACCAACTGGGATGGCTATAATCAAAGAGATGGACAGTAGCAAGTGTTAGGATTTGGAGAAATTGGAATCCTCATATATTGTTGGTTTGGAAAGGTAGACTGCTGCAGCCATTGTAGAAAATAGTTTCTCGAAATACTAAACACGAAAAAATGTTAAACATGGACTTATATGACCCAGCAATTCCACTCCTAGGTATATACTCAGGAGAAATGAAAACATGTTCACACAAAAATTTGTACACAAATGTTCACAGCAGCACTATTCATAATAACCAAAAAGTACAAACAAACCAAATGTCAATCATCTGATGAACAGATAACAAATATGGTATATCTATACAATGGAATATTACTTAACACATAAAGGAATAAAACATTGAATCAAGCCTGCAACATAGATGAACCTTGAAAACATACTAAATGAAAGAAAGCCACACACTATATGACCTTATTTATATGAAATGTCCAAAATAGGCAATTCTGTAGACAGAAAGGGTAAATTACTGTTTTCCAAGGGTAAGAGAGAAGAGAGAATGGGAGTCACTGCTAATGGGCATGGGATTTCTTTGAGGGGTGATAAAAATAATCTGCAGTCATGTAAAATGAATAAAAGATTTGTTTAAATGTTCTGGAACTTGCAGAAATGATAACACAAATTCATGAATATAATAAAACCACTGAGTCAGATGAAATGAGGAAAAGTATACAGGACCTGAAAGAGGAAATGTACAAGGAAATCAATGTCCTAAAAAAAAAGTAATAGAACTTGCCAAACTGAAGAAGTTATTCAGCGAAATAAAAAACACAATGGAGAGTTTAACCAGCAGGCTAACGGAAGTTGAAGAGAGAACCTCTGAACTTGACGATGGGCTGTTTGAAATAACACAAGCAGACAAGAAAAAAGAAAAAAGTATCAAAGACATTGAAGAAAATCTGAGAGAGATATTAGACAACCTTAAGCGCTCAAATATCCGAATCATGGGTATTCCAGAAGGGGAGGAAAAAGGAGAATGTATTGAAAACATATTCAACAAAATAGTGCCAGAAAACTTCCCAGGCAT